TCCATATCTAGTGATATAGCAAATACTAAAAGCATCTATAGAAATTCATTGCAAATGATTTTACTATAGGAATGCATTAGAAATGATTTGAATACTAGCTCTTTATGGAACCTGGAATATTATGGCTAAGATTTATGAAACAAATCCATCCAAACTTTCATTCCCTCTAATGATTCCATATCTAGTGATATAGAATTTCGTACCCACTCCCCGAACCTATGATACCCCCTCCCCACTGAAATACATCTCAATTTTCACGAGGTAGTATTCATATAAAATACAAATTTTGATTGTAACCAGTTATGGAAAATAATGGATCATATGCAATATAGGTGATCATTTTAACTAGAAAAATTCAAAATAAATACCATGTATTTAAATACAAATTATAGACATGTCATAATAGATCATTCCATCTTAAATAATTTTTTCGGCAATTTTTATCAGCAACTAGAGATTTTTATTGTTAAAAAGTTGATAAATTTTAACACATTCAACATTATAAATAAAAAAAATAGTAAATTTTATATCATGGTATTTCGAGACTTAATATGAGCAAAATAAATTCACGAATTTGAACAAAAACAATGAAGACCCCAGAATATCATCAAAGTCCGCGAAAATTGTTCGTTCTTTAATAGTCAGTCCTGCTTAGTTTAATTTGTAACATTTGTAGGTATAATAAAAGCAAATGTTGTTATGATAGTGAGGGTCACAAAGCACTGCCCGGGGCTTCAAATCAGGCTCGGTTTGGGGGTTGTGTGTAGTACGCCCCAGCACTTGTTCTACTTACCGCATCTTCAAGTCTAACTTTATTGATAAAAGCATTATTAATCTAATTGCATATCTCATATTAATTAAAATATACATTTTTATAACTTGTTTTCTTATATTAAGGAAAGAAATATCTAATAATATGTAGTTTGGTTTTTGCTTTTGTTTTGTTTTTTTTTTGTTTTGTTTTTGCTTTTGCTTTTGTGGTTTTTTTGGGGGGGTGTTTGTTTTTTTGTTTTTTGTCTTTTGTGTTTTTCTTGTTTTCTTTTTTGTTCTTGTTATCAGTAAAACCCCAAAGGAAGGCAGTACAGCCACTACAAAACAAGGGTGTGGAGAAATTAGGAGCAAAAAAATTAGTAATGAGGAGAAAGAAAAGATCAACCAGGAGAACAATAGATAGCGATTGACATTGCATTTAAATTTTTGCAGATTAAAGTTGGATGAAAAGCATAGGGCCGGGGAGGGGTGGATTTCCACTAGGGAGAAGTGCGAGATAAGAAACTGTTAGCGGAGACGTTACGGCTACATCTAGCTAGCTCAACTGTAAATTGATGAGATCTCGACGCCAGTCGAGTACTGTGCTTTATATTCATATAATCTAAGTACTACCCGAACAATTACAATGAAAGTATTTATATAAAAGGCACAGAGAAGCAAACTTATGGTCGTAGGGAAGCCGAAAATAGTTACTGAATAAATCGATTTAAACGTAGACCTCATAAATGTAATCTGAATTGAATAACTAAAAACGTAAACTTAGATAATTATAACAAACAATCCAGTCCAAACGCTCTGAGATAATCGCTTTTTAGTCCGTAATTAGTTTCGTACAATAGCCGTTTGGAATAAATTAAAGTAACCACAACCTCCGTCTATTTAATAACCGTTCGAATAACACAATAAACCAGATATAGCTAACCTTATAACCCAGACTTACCCAGGAACTAACATATATAAATTTAGTAGAGCCTACATTAGTCTGAGTATGACAATAAAGTACATCTGGCATCAAGGCATCTGATCAGGAGATTGGAGGTTTTGAGGAACGTGGAACCACCTCTTAATTGATGTTGTTCCAAGGTCCACGCTGACTCCGGGTGGTAGCATCTGTTAGGGTCTCAGCCTTGGGCAAATAGTCACTCCCCCCCACAACAAAAAACAAATATACTATAAAAGTATAAAAATACAATCAATACTTTTTATATAAAAAATACCATATTAGTTAACAAATTAACATATTCGTAGTGAAATTACCAACGTTACTAATTTATAGTAATGTTACCAACAATACATTTTATCTGTATTGGAAAACATACAATTGTGTTTTAAATATTTAGATTTCGGCATTAAATTACCCATAGAGGTCTTGATATGCCGCTAAACAAAATGACCAACAATACATTTTATCTGTAGTTGAACGCATACAATTGCGTTACAAAGATATTTAGTTGAAGCCATAAAATTCTGTTCAAAATATATTTAGTTGAAAGCATACAATTGTGTTCAAAGTATTTAGATTTCGGAATTAAATAACCCATGGAGATGTTGATATACCGCTACATAAAATCAACCAATCAAATCCAACTTACATAGCCTTACGATTGCGGCCAAGCATGAAACACTGTCAGCATTCGGTGTTGATATCTATGTCACACGCTGCTTATATTTAAATACGCTCTATAAACCCAAATATTAACCTGAGAACTCTAGTCCTCAAGGACACATGACACAGTGGATAAAGGCGTTAGTTAGATCCAGCGACCGGACCCAAAGAGTGTGAGGCAGTGGAGAACTTGGAGAGGGGAATTAACTGATAACTGACATCCATTAGACATGTAACGTGGAAGTAGAACAGTGAGCGAAATAAAGGGTTCAGTCCGACATTCCAACCACCTGAAGAAGGCCAGAGCGTAAAACGGTCGAAACGTTATGATAAATATGGCAACAAAGATGAGGACAATAGTCTGAACAATGTAAATAGTGTACATAATACCTCATCTCAGAAACAGACAGAAACTCTAGTCATCTTCTTAAATAGACTCATCAGTAGACTCTGTTATGGGTGTCATCTAACCCGTTCAGAAATGTCTAAACCAGGGGTCGCAACTCATTCGACCCCGCGGGCCGGATCGTGTTATAATGACGGGTCGCGAGCCGGACGAAGGCCATTAATGAAAAATTAAGGAAAATTACATATGCAGAACCCCTGTCAACCTAAATATTTAAAACCATAATGAAAATAAACATTGAGAAATCAGAAAAACAAAAAATCTAAAATTAAAAAACACCTAACAAAAATTACTTTTCCTCAAGGAACGTCAAAATACTTCAAAGTGAAAAAAAATCAACCGAAGTGAAATGGATGAAATTATGACGTGTAGGTTTGAAACTGTTATTGAAAATTGTTACACAAACGAACCACACACACACACGCGCACACATCAAACAAAAACGAAGCACATATACCCATACATACGAGTACAAATAGTTGCAAACATATACACTTACGTACGTACACATGTTTAACTGTCATTAGATTTCTGCTACCTCGCATGTCAGTCCCTCCCTGGCCTCTTTCACTTTATTGTTCCTTTCGCTTCTGTTATCTTTTAATGTAGCCACGGGTCATAACAAATATGTATCCATTATTTGACATTAAACTTAGGCAACGCAACTTGGTAAAATAAGTCTCATGAAAGATAACTGGCAGATAGTCTAATATTTTAGTGCACTGAGATGTGTAGACATTCTATGGAAAATGACATATAACAAATTTCATTTGAAGGTCGTCTCTCATGTTAAAAATAGATTCCTTGGTAATCAGGCTCGCGGGCCGGTCAAAATGCCTTCGCGGGCCGGATCCGTAGGTTGCCGACCCTTGGTCTAAACTATCAGCTATATACAACGGTTTTCTGGAATCAATAATTTAAAATGGCTTCAAACGAACGAATCCTCTTGATCTTGAAGAAAGCAAGTATTCATCAGATCTTGTAATGTAACAATGCCACTCATTGCTCTAAATCATGATGTACGATGTAGTCGCTGGCGACGGCACTAAATTCTGTTCCTTCAAATTCTGTTCTTATAACGAAAAAAAAACACGTGGACACAAATGTGTTGATAACGTCAGTTGATTTCTTCCTTATTTATTTTTTCGCTTTGGTGAACTACCAAGTGAGAGAGAAAGACGACAGTTGTGTCCTAGCGGAAGGTTCTTAAACTGCCCTTTACCGGAGAACATCTTAATTCCGGCCGACTCACGGATCAGTCCGCACGCTTTGCTTACAATCTTCCTCCTACTAGTCTAATGACCTCAGCGAAAAACTCACCAGAAGACTCTCTTATCTCCAATTCATATCAAAACTCTTCCTTTTATATTTTGCCTTCTGTGTGAGAGAACACTTCCGGATCCGTCTCGAGATGCTTCTAGAACCACGTAATGTCTCCTAGAAAAGACCAGATTTCCCTTGAACCTTCTCGAATCGGAAGTCCTTCCGTCATTTATTTATTTATTTAGCGGATCTGATTCCCGGCATAATTATAACTACCACTGGTCGATCGCATTCACCCGTGAAAGCCAGGCATCAACACGACTAGCAAGGGCATGCTCTCCGTGTTGACCTTTCTCACTGGGGGTGTGTGGGGGGGTCGACTTGAAAAGGCTTTTCACAGAATAACGTCTGTTGTAAGGCGACTGGATAACCAGTCAACCCACATGGTAATAATTTCTAATGTTGTTAAAATTCCCTTTTTATTTTATTTTTATTTTTATTTTTAAAAGAACCTTTATATAAATTTACACTGAAATTTCTCAAATGTCATCCATTACATAACAATAAGTCTTGCTCTACATAACCTCAAAGATCTTTACCAAATAGCAGAAACCACATCACTTGAGGACTTTCAACAACAACTGAAATAGATATTCACATATAACTAGAATGGAAAATAATATGAAGATGTCGTTTTTCCGCACAACCTTAAACAATAGGTTAGGAAGGAAACTCCCGTTAGTACTAGAGCGAGCGATAACAGTGGACTTGAAAAATCTTAAGAAAAAGATTTTATAAATTTCAACCGACAGTAAAACTAACCGTTCGATCAATGAATGCCGAATGTTTCCTTATAAGGAAACAATCAATAGAGTAATGTAACAGACACTGCTACCAGAAATCAATTTTTTTCCAATAGATATTTTTTTTATAATTACTATAGATTAAGAACCACATTAAAACACCGGTTTCTGTATAATCACCGAAGTTAAGCAACGTCGAGCCTGGTCAGTACCTAGATGGGTGACTGCTTGGGAATTCCAAGTGCTGTCAGCTTGGATATGCGGGATCGTGTACTGGAAATCGGAGAGCTGAGTTTCAATTCCAGTTGCGTTCGTTATATTCACTTACACGCAAATACCCTTAATTAATCCACTTCTCTTCCCAACATATATGGGTTAAATAGTAAGATTTGTATCAGTAAATCGCTATTATCTCAATATTTTCTAACTTTAAATAACACTCAAAGGGTTGATAAGCTGTAAAAAAAAAAATTAAATAATTCAATCAAAAGAAAATTTGCTTATAAGGCGTGTTTCTTTAAAGTGTAAAAAAAAAATAATTGAAATTCGTAATCTAGAGCGCTTAGTAATAAATGAATAAACCCTTTTTTTATTTTATTAAGGAATCCTATGGTATAAGCATATGACAGTGTTTAACCTCTGCCCCCGCTAAAAAAAGACAGTTATTCCCTTGACACCGCTATTATTACTGTATACATTTTCAGTCCCTCAGCAATGTTTAAGGTTTTAAAGATCAATGCTTAGAATTTTAATAAAAAAGAAAACAAATATATGAAAGTGGATGAATACATTTTCTTTATTCTTGAGAATTGACTGCAAAAACATTAAACACGATTAGATTGCTTATTTACAAGAAAAATTACAAAATTATAAAAATTATTTCTTTGTAAAATGACAAATAAATATTTCATAGCTGGTTCATATATTTTTTTGAAAATATTTTTTTTATTCATAAATTTCTAAAAATGTCTGAACAAAAAAGTTGAAATAAACACATAACGACGAAAACCTGCTCCTGTCATCCATTCCCTAATCACTATTTGGATTTGCGAGAGTTTGTTGGCGGTGAAAGAAAATCAGATTAGTAGAAAGTACTGATGGCTTGAATTTGTTTAAGATGAACTTCCACTTGCCAGGAAGTGACCCACACACTTGATTTCATGACCTTTCTCTGCGGCACACAGAAAAATGAGACATGCAGTATCCAGTTAATTATAAATTTTGGAAAAAAAAAAAAATGAATTTTCCAGACATTTCTTTCATTTGCTCCCACCACATAAATTTATGGGCGTGTTCTTTGTGCATATATCTTTTGTCTTATTAATGATTCAAGAAAACAACGAAACTCCAAATGTGAATCAACAAGTATACAGTGTAACCCGGATATAAGAAAGTTGTCGGGACCGGAGAAGAAGTCTCTTATATCCGGGTTTCTCTTATATCCGGGTTTGGTCTATCATATATACATTAACACAGGCTCTAATTTGGGACCAGAGAAAATCTCTCTTATATCCGGGTTTCTCTTATATCCGGGTCACACTGATTGAAATAACATACAAGAACAAAATATACAATAATTTTTATTCAATGTATAGATTAAGGGAAAAAAATTGCTCCCCTTTTACCGTATTTTGATTTGTAATTGATTGTTCGAAAGAAAGTTCTCTTTAGAGAGAAATGTTCAGGAATCAACGTTAGAAATGTCTGCTGTTAGAATAGATAACACAAGAATACAACTGATCAGAAAGTGTGTTGTGTTAGAGAAATCAACAGAGTCCTGGTTGACTGAACTTGGCCGCGTCACAGAGAGATATGTATATATGTATTACAAAATTCTGTGTCTGTGTGTGCGTTTGAAATGTTGTGAGTAAAGTCATAGGTTTGTGTTGACAGGCGAAATTTAGTGGACTCTACTGGCGGCTTGTGATAAAGTCGCCTCTTTTAAAGCTACAGATAGGCTCCCTCCCAGCGAAATCGCGGGAAAAGTTGATTTTGCACTAAAATATGTGATTGGTTAAAATTTGACCAATCGCTAAATTTGTACTAACGAAACAGGTAAGCAAGTTCAAAACCGAAAAATTCAAAACAACGGCTGCGATGGCTAAATTGTCCTATAGAAAGTCGGTATTGATTTATTAGTCAATCGCAGAAGAATAAAATGTGGGCTACAACTTCACTAAAATAGGCTGAGAAAATTTCTTCCTCTTGCATAATTTGATAATTTTTAATTTTTTTTTTTTTTTTTTTTTTTTTTTGATAAATTTTTGAATAAAAAGATTTCTTTTCAAATTTATTTCTTTATAAAATATTAAATAATAAATATTTATAAAAGGTAAACAATATCACATTTGGTTCACATATTTTTATAATCTTGTAAATAAATGTTGTCAAGTGAGTCAAAAAAGTATCCAGTAAAAATAGTGTCAAAGGAATAACCATCATTTTGACACACCTTCTTTTTAATGGCACTGAGTTTGAACATTGCCAAAATATTTATAATCATAAGAATTTTCACAGCATAATCCTTACTGTTACTGAAAATATTTTTTTCATAAAGTTTATATTTTTGGTACAGCATTTGTTTAAAAAAAAATGAAAATTAATTTACATGATATAATTATGAATAATGATGTAAAAAATGTATTGGGTTTCCGGTTCCTTCTAAAGTGTTTTCTTTCTCTTTCACTTCCAGCGGCCCACTTTAACACGTGGGCGTATCCAAGGGAGTTAACTTACATAGAGAAAATATAGAAGAATTATTATTTTTTTATAAAATATTAAATATTACTAAAAGATAAATAATAAATATCACATTGTACTTTTTTCACATATTTTTATAATCTTGTAAATAAACTTTGCTAGGGGAGTCAGAAGTGTATAGAGAAATAACCGTCCTTTTGATACAACGTGTTTTTTTGGGGTTTTTTTGTTTTTTGTTTTTTTCTTGCAGGCGCAAAGGTTAAACTTTACCGAGCATATTTTGTTTTGGTCTCCGTAGAAGTGGCTAGCAATCACATTTTTTTTTTAATAATATTCATGATCTGGAATGCTTAAATATATGTTTTTAAAAAAATTTTAAAAATATTATTTCTAGTCTCGGTGTCTATTATAAAGTATGCGATGGGGAAAATTGTCGCCATTTTGTTTTTTGTTTTATTTTTTTAATTTCGCGCATGCGCGTTGTTTGTTTTTATCTACTACACAGTGAGAAAAAGATCACCATGACACAATTCGCTCCGCCAGAAAATTTGGAAACGGCATGCTATACTGCTTGGAATTCGCACCGATAAACTCCAATACGAACATTTCCGAGTGTTTGGGTGTCAATCTGAAGATAATGAAGAGGATTAGGAGAGAGTTGGATGAGTCTTATGGTGATTACGAAGGTGTTTAGAGTGATTACTACTGATGATGACATTATGCTTCCATTCATCTTCCTACAGGGCCCCAGACTCAATACAGAGGCCTCCATCGAATGCCTTGTGGAGGTATTGCTGCTCTGGGTCAAGAGGGTGGCTACTGGAAAACCCTATGTCTGGCAACAGGACTCTGCACCATGCCACACAAGCAGAAGAACCCAGTCATGGATGTCAGACAATTTCTGCAACCAGATAACCCCTTACATCTGGCCACCAAACTTGCCAGACTGCAACCCCCCCCTTGATTATTATGTGTGGGGCGCAGTTGAGCGAGAGACCAACAAAACTCCTTGTAAAACGAAAGATGAAGGCAAGGATTATGGTAGAATTTACCAACTTAAATCAGGAAACCGCCCAGAAGAGTTGCAGGCGATTCCGAAGTCGTTTGGAATCTGTGGTTGAAGCCAATAGCGATTTTATTGAATAAATTTACTCCTTAGTATTTCAAAATATTTTTGTGTAATTTAGGTAAATAGATATGTTAAAATGAGATTTAGACGACAATTTATCCATCGTACTTTTTAGTAATAGCTGTGTCACGAGTAAAAAAAAAAAAAAACAAACCCTTCTTTTGACACGCCATTTTTTGGTGGGTGGGGGGTTACATCTGTTAAACTACGCTGTGCGTTCTATATTTAGACGACAATTTATCCATCGCACCTTGTATAACTCCGCCAAAATGGCTCATTATTACCAATTATTTTATTAAATCCGAATGCGCTTTAGGATGGCGAAAGTGCCTTCCAAAATCTAAACAAAGTATTAAGAAACAGAAAAATTTCGTTAGAAACAAAGAAAAGAGTACTGAACTGTTCAGTCCTCCTATTGAATACTGGACAATCTCCTTACAGATAAAGAAAGAAAATCGAAGCAAAAGAAATGCGGTTCTACAGTCGGATGCTGAGAATGAACATGAACTGAACATATGAGCAACAACCAAATTTTAGAGATATAAAGATTTTCCTCGCGTGCAGTTAAATTCCACGAAGACAAAGACGAACACACTTGAAGAAGAGAAGCAACAATATTATATTTACTGTTTAAAAAGAATGTTTACTGTACAAAGAGGTGTATGCACAAATAGGCAAAAGGCTTGCAAATATAATTTATATTTGCGGACGCAACTGTTAGAAGAGTGACCAAGGAACAAAAGTGGGGTGTGTGGCTTCTGGATTCCATTAACGTCTGAAAGAATGGCTCCAATAAATGTGTAGTCACTACGCAAAAGCGGGGGATTTCAGGTTCGAATTTAGCGCGTGACCCCCAAGAAAGGGTCCTGATTGGATAGTAGTTAACCAATCAGTTCAGCATTAGTTATAATTTCTAGCTTGACCTTTAGAGTGGTAAAGGGTTAGCTCCCTTTACAGTCATTTTCAAATTCTTATAGGACGCTTATGCTTAACATCAGGAAGAGACCTTTGAAATTTCTCGGACACGTATTGAAGAAAGAAGGCTTGAAAAATTTGTTACTCACAGAACAGACTGAGGGAAATATGGACAGAGGAGAACAACGCACTTACAACTTTCTAAGAAAAGTGTTCTTACACACTACTAAAATAGAAATTGTATTTTAAACAAAAACAAACACAGAACAATCCAAGGTAAACAACTCTGGAGAATTTAGACAATTAAACCCTACTTTATTCACGCATACAAACTACACAAATTTCTGTATAAATAATATTTTCCATTTTACTCTGACCAGTTCTTTAACACTTGAACAATTTTGAACTGTAAATCAATAAGAAACCCAATTTATGAATGGTCAATTTCTTGCATTATCAAACTACAAGTTTTCAAATTGTATATTAATTGTACATAAAAATGCATGT